AATGTAATTTCATTTCCCTTTTGATTATAGAGTCTCTTAGGAAAGGGCTTTAAAACCTTCCAGAGATTTTTTAAAAAAGGATTTGTTTCTATTTTATTATTTATTTTTAGCTTTATTTCATCATGATCCAAGAATGTGACCTATGTAGATTCCACTTTTTGAAATCTAATGAGCTTTTCTTGGTGGCATAAAATATAGTAAATTTTTGTGAAAATTTACTAAGTATTTAAAAAGATGAAGTATACTGGCAACATGTTTAAAGGCTTGTAATTCAATATATAAATATTAAATGAAAGGCAGTAATTACTGTTAGTGTCCTTTATGTTTTATGTCTTCCTGTCCTCCTTCACTTTTTTCCTCCTTCCTTCCCTCCTTCCTTCTTTCTCTCCTTCCCTCCCTCCCTCTTTCCTTCCTGCCCTCTCACATTCCTTATTTCCCTCCCTCCCTTCCTTCCTTCTTCCCCTCCTTCTTTCCTTCTCTCCTTCCCTCTCTCCTTTCTTCCCTCATTCTTTCCTTTCTTTCTTCCTTTCCTTTTTCCTTCCTTCCTTCCTTCCTCCCCATATCTGTCCCTCCGTCCCTCCCTCTTCCTTCTCCCTCCCTCTCTCCCTCCCTTCTTTCCTTTTTTACTTTTCAAGGACTGAGAGGTACTTTGTGGTCTCCTATCACTATTTTATTTTTCTTGTTTTTGTTTCTAATCAGCTTGTGGAATGTTAAATTGACTGACATGACTTTCAAAGCCGCTCATCATTCATTTTCCTAATTTCCGGGTGTACAGAAAGATAGACAGGCATCTTGTCTGCACTGTGTTAATTGAGGCATAGAAAATATAGGAGTTGAATCTGTCTACATTATGGGTGCTCCACATAATTTTTGTAAGGTGAGTCTCTTCTTTTTTTTTTTTTTTTTTTTAAGATTTTATTTATTTATTTGACAGACAGTGATCACAAGTAGGCAAAGAGGCAGGCATAAAGGGACCCCGGTGAGTCTCTTCTTATGTTTAATAACAACTAATAACCTTAAGCTAATCTTCTGCTTTCCTTTGTGTTTGCATTCATACCACACATTTAGGTTGTTTGTTTATTTTACTTTATTTTTTTTAAGTTTCAGCTTGCTCTTTCCTCTTTGGTTTATATGAAAGAATGAGCAATTATACATTTGCTTCACCTCAGGGGCTGCTGCATTACATTTTTCATTGTGAAACCAACATATACAGACAAACAAACGCCTTCCATGTACTGAAAAATTAAATAGTTCTTTCCGATGAAGAAACTCAAAGAACAAATGTGGAAATATCTTGCATAATGGGGCTATTACTGCATATTGTTTGATGTTAATACTCAGACGTCATGAACAATTCTCAATCCTGGTGCTGAAAATCTAAAAATCCAGGTAATTTTAGAATCTGTAAACAGTTATTCAAATGACTTTCCAGCTCAAAGTCTGGAGGCAAGCCACCTGAAGAAGAGGATGTTGAGCAGCAGTCTCTTCAACTTTTGGTAAGATGTTCGGTCTAGAACACAATGTAATATCACACATGACAATTCTCAAGAATTTCTAATCTTTCACAGTACATTAAGAAAGTTCTTAGGAGGGGGTGCCTGGGTGGCTCAGTGGGTTAAGCCTCTGCCTTCGGCTCAGGTCATGGGCTCAGGGTCCTGGGATCGAGTCCGCATCAGGCTCTCTGCTCAGTGGGGAGCCTGCTTCCCCCACCCCTCTCCCGGCCTGCCTTTCTACTTGTGATCCCTCTCTCTGTCAAATAGATAAAATTAAATAAAATAAAAAAAGAAAGAAAGTTCTTAGGAAAAAATAAATAAATTAAAAAAAAAAGAAAATTCTTAGGAAAAACTAGGCTGTAATTACCAAAGATATGACATAGGCCACACAATATGAAGGAGACCTCCCAGATCAAGAAGAATGCTAATAAAAAGGACCCCATGAATATAGACGGTAAGAAATAAAAATGTGTCAGGCATTTCAAATGACTCCTAATTGCCATTTCACTCTGCCTTGTATTTAGGATATCAGAAAAACATGCCAACACTTCCATCAGCCTATGGAAAGTTAAATTGACCACAAGACAGTAAAAGCCTCCCTTGATTCTGCGTGCCAGTGTAAGTTAGTTGTACATGAAAATAAACAGCAGTGCATCATTCCACATATTAAACACAGCATTTGCAATTTGTATGTCTGTGTCTGGAAATGTTTCATTCCTTACAGCTCAGCTGTATTTCAGGCTCAGTCCTAGCACTTGTAGATGCAAACTGGACACACAGCTTTGCTCTTGGGCTCTTTGCTGTGCTTTTTATAGAACTGACCTCCCTCTTGGGTATTGAGTGCATTTTAGTGGTGGTTACAGCAGGGAGGAGAGAACCAGGTGTCTGGTTGGGACTTCTCTTTCTACTTTTTACCCTTAGGAATAATTTAAATTTACTTGTATTTGTTTGTGATTATAGCACATAGTTGAGTTTGGGCTTTTGGAAAATCTCAGTCCTTTTCTTTCAATGGGAAAATATGCTCTTCTCACATACTTTTGGCGAAGATACTGTGTGTGGTCTCCTATCCTTTTAGTGTGCTTTAAATACTTCCTCTTGATTTCTTTTTTAATTTCCTATTTTGTAATATGATTTTTTTGTGTGGGCTTTTCCCTCCAGAACATTGGAAATTATTTTTAAAAGTTCTGGGAAGGTACTCAAGTGATTAAATGTTCCTAAATGTTTACTTTGGGCTCCTCAAGAAGCATTTTTGGTTGCTAAATTGGTAAGCCTCTATATTCCCACATTTTCATTGACAATCCACAGGCACTGTTGAACATTTTCTTAAGACTAGGTAGCTTACGCTTTCTAAAAGTTATTTGCCTTTCTTGAAATAAGTGGCATTCAAAACTATGTTACTAATTCTTGCGTGCTATGCTTCTGTGCTTCTGTTGCACAAACTTTCAAATGAACCCTGTTTACTTCTTTATTTTCTGACTGCTCATATCCATCCTTGTTATCAAGGCTTCTGTTTGCTTAAAATTAGTGTGGGTGGCTTCTATTTTTGCTTTCTCACCATTTCATTGAGAACTGTTAAAATCTTCTTTCTAGAGTTTGAGCCAGAGACCAAGTGAAGAGATAAACATTCAGAAGGCTGAAGAAGAAGTAGAGAAAGAACTTAGGCTACAGACAGTCCAAACTATGATCTTTATCTCTGCCTGGCTTCTCTGGTTCATTGATTCGGCCGATTCAGGAACTCCTATTCCATATCTGGCTTCCACAGCAAAGAGGCCATCGACTATGTCAGATTTAGCTTCTGCTGGCTGTGAGTGGGGAGTGTTCTGTCTCAATGAGTTGGGGGGCGTCATCATCCTCAGGAAAAGTGTTTTCTATCTGGTTCATTAACAATCCTGGTGTTGAGTGTGAGCAGCACCAGAGGAAATATCCACAAAGCTTACTTACTGACTCCACGTCTTTTATGACCGAGGGTAACCTTCCAGTCTCTGCCCCATCCCAAATGGGGTATCATGGGTCACCTAGTTCTGCTACGTGAAGTAGCAGCTTCCTTCCGCATTCTGCTTATATCTGCAGCCCTCCTACCTCAAAATGAAGAAAAGATGTCTTTCTTAAAAAATCTGGGCAACTGCTTATAAACTCTGGAGCTTTAGCTAAATGTTTACTAAATGTATGGATTAAAAAATTACTTTGTTCAACTTGAATTGTTCTTTGTTGCATGGGTTTTTAATGATCTTCTGTCAACTGGATTCTAAGAGGGGCAGGTGGCTCATTTGTCTTTAATGGTAAATCCCTTTTTGTAGGTTTACCTTGGGTTCTTAGAATGGCCTGAAACTGACATGGTAAACCATGCATATATCATTCTAGATGGGAAACTGCTGTCAGAAGAAGCTAGCTAGACTGGGAGTTAGTATGAGTAATAAGCCAGTGGTGGGACATTACTTAGTCACTATGATCCTGTTTCCTCCTCTAGAAGATGAAATAATGTCGCCTGTGCTGCCTCCTTGAGCAGAGGAGTTTTGCAAGTAATAAATGAGATGATATATAAGAAAACACTGTGTCAGGAATAGCAAGACACTCTGTAGGAGGAAGCTTGTCTCACTCTTTCTCCCTGAGGTGGAGAGGACCAGAAGATTCCTTCTCATAGATTTCACTCCTTTGAATAAGAGGAAGATGTTTCAGCTAAAAGAGAAACAAACAGGCCATTTGTTCCACCTTCATTCATTCATTCATCATTTACTCACTCATTCAACACAACAGACCACAAGGCCAATTCTATCCTTCCCTTCATGAAACTTACATTTTAGTAGCAGCAATGGGCAATATCCAAATACAAAAGCAAGATCAGGGATGGACATCATTAAGAAAGAGCAAAATCTAAATGAAAAGTTGTTCAATGGATAGACAGTTTCAGTCACACAAGATGAGTATGTTCTAGAGAGATGTACAGCATTGTGTCTCTAATTAATTCTTCACTGTGCACTTTAAAAATTTGTTGAAATGGTAGATCTCATGTGAAGTGTTCTTACCACAAAAAGTGGGGACACAAAGAAACTTTCCAAGGTGGTGGACATGTTTATTACCTCGATTGCAGTGGTGGTTTCAGAGTGTTTTTATATATCAAAACCCATCAAATTGTATACATCAAGTAAGTATAGTTTTTAACAATATCAATTATACTTCACTAAAGCTGTTTTAAAAAAAGAAAAGGGGAAGGAAGGATCCCGAAATGGATCAAATGGAAGAGGCACTAGAGTTGTTATTTTAGATAATGTGGTCTAATGAAAGATCCATTTTCATTTTTTCTCGAGAATTTAAACCTGTAATTAATAAACTGTCTTACAAGAGCATAATGTTTGAAATTTCTAAAAAGACCTTCAGGTACCTTTCTCATTTTGCAATTTATAACAGCTTTTTGAGGTACACCGTCTACATGCGATCTAGGTTTGAGAAATTGCCACAGGGAATCTGAGGCCCAACTGGACAAAATTTCAAAATGGTGAACATACATACCCATTTCATGTCTGGTGCTGGCCACACCCAAGCCATACTCCTCTAAAACGTCCTTTACTGTCCTCATAGATTCATCGTAACTGGCAGCCAAGCCAAGAAAGTTGTATGAGCCCATGTTGATGACATCTTTGATGATTCTTCCAGTGAACCTGCAGAGAGAAGACCACAAAGGGCTTTCTCATTTAACATCGTCCTAGTGCCCCACAGAAGACTCATACAAGGAGATCTTGGGTCTGGCCCCAATCATATATTTTGTTTTTCCTTTCTGGTGTGCACTGGTCCATACAAAATGGTCTGCCCTTGGAGGATAGTAACGCCAAAATGAAGCTGGGCAGAGTATTAGAAAAAGGTATCACGAGCCATGGAGTATCATTTAGCCCTGGTTTTCCTTGGCTGCTCACTTCTGTGACACCTGTGCTCTTGTTTAAATTCCAGCAAGAACTTTATAGGTGAGAAAGAGCCCTGGTCATCACTGCCTCCTTCAGTAAGAAGTAGGGGGGTAAAATTGTCAATAAGGCTGAAAAGGCTCTTTGTGGCTAGCTCTGTGTAGACCGCACTTTCTGACACAGGCTTCATTTTAATCTAACACAGCCACTGTTGGCAACCGAATAACCATGACTTCCCCCACTGGAATTACCAGGGCTTGCAAAAGGCTCAATGATGGAAGACCAGCAACTTCCATGGTTTGGTGCTTATCAGCTCTGTAATTTAATGCCCATGCTTGGATTTCCTGGGAAGAATTTCTTTCAACCAAGACCCTCCAGAAGGCTGCCTCACCTAAATGTCCAGTTGTAGTCATCCGACACCCTCTCCATCACATCGAACCGAGACCCCGGGGCACTGCAGATGGGCCGGTTCCAGTTGTCTCTGATTCTCATGTACAGGTTCCGCGTGTAAAAATTCTCAAAGTTTTGATAAAGCGGCACAAAATCCTGTTACAACAGAGGTAGCAGTTTACCTTTGGTCTCCTGCTTTTTGTATTTTCTTAGCAACTGAAGGCTGGAAGAGCCATGAACATAGTCCACTGCACATAGTTTTGGAGCAAGGGCCTATTGGTAAGGGGACAGGTGGGTCCACAGAGAACACTGTGAGGCCTCCATCCCTAAACAATTTACATTTTAGTGGAAGGAAGTAAGAAAAACGTGGCACAGAAAGGTAGCAAAGATGATAGTACAACACGAGGTAAGTCCCCAGATGACTGGTGGACACAAGGAATCTTTGCGGGATACCGTCTGAAAAGTAACAATAGATGTTTATATCAAAGGAGTCTTGGAGAGAAAAGTGGTGAGATGATAATCTGGTCTTAAATTTTTTGAACATGAATATCCCCACTCACGTTTTCAGAAATGTGGATGAACTTGATCTTGAACCTACTGGCAAAACTCTTGGCAGCTGGCTGCCTGTCACATAGCCGAGGGCCTAGAAACTGAGTTGATGAGCTCGTGGAGGCACTTGGCTTCTCTCACAGTTGCAGTGACAGCACCGTTTTTGCTCTATAAAAGGTAAGCCATGCTTGAGGGGTTGACAAGCCAGCTGAGGCTCAAAGCAAAACATATCTAACTTTTGGTTATCTAACTCCCTAATAGTACAAGGCAGAAATTACAAAACCTTGATCTAAGCCAAGTACTTTGGGCAATTTGTAAGATTAGAATGAGAGGGAGAGTCACATCTTGCTGAAGCAATCAAGGTAGTTTACGTGAGAGGGGTCTCGAAGCTGGGCAGCAAAGTGGAATGAAATTGCTTTGGGCATGGATGCTTGGAGATGGCACTCAGGATGAATGGGTCTGTGTTAGAAGTGTAGGGTGTTTTTGAGAATGAGTGAAAATAAAACATACGACAGTTCTTGTCACTCCTGCCTGATCTATAATGGCTCCCACCTCACTTAGGGTCAAAGCCAACGTTCTGAGCGATCTGCTCCCTGTTATCTTCCTAATCCCATCCACTATTATTCCCTGTGGTGTGTTAAGGTGGCAAATCCAGTGGGGCACAGAAAGTGGGACCTTTTAGTGTCTGGATGAAGAACTCACACATTATCTTGGAGTCAATGAGGAACCACTGAATAACCAAGAGGGAGCTTTCCTATTCTCCTATCCTTTCTGAGTTCTTTGCTCTCCTTCCCATTATGAAATAGAGCTGATTTCCTGAGGGAACAAGGAGGACTAGGGCTAAGGCTTTGTAGAAGACCTTCTTGTGCTACTGGTTTGGCTTACTCATCTCTCGAGCTGATCCATTCCAGGGAAAAATATATAGAATCTGCAGGCTTTGATGGCTGATGGTTGCACCCAAGCCATAGTCTGGTTTGCAACATCATTACGTTTTCAGTGGCGTGGCATCATTTCTGGGGAGGGAGTTGTGATTGCCTGTAGAAAGAATGTTTATAACCACAACCCAGCACATGATGGGGACTATCTACTGCATGCAAATTTGGAGGATGAAAAGGGCAACTTTACTGGTTACATCTATAAGTTGAAAATTTCATACCAAATGTATTTGTCTTTTAAATTCTAAGTATCCTGATAGAAATCTTAAGATTCAAAGCTACAAAGTTATGATAATTATACCCATTTATGTTCTAACAGGGAAATGGACATTTTTAAAAAATTATTTTTATTAACATATAATATATTATTTGCCCCAGGGGTACAGGTCTGTGAATCATCAGGCTTACACATTTCACAGCACTCATCATAGCCCATACCCTGACATATTTTTGAGAGAAAAGGAGATTTTCCAAACAATTTCTTCTTTTTTTTTAAAACTGTTTACTGACTTATAGATTACTCCATATCCCCAAATGTTGTGTCCTTCTATTTCTAATTTTTTATTCCTTAATTGAAATGACATCATATACATTCATACTATCAAGAGAAAATAGAGAAGTAGGTCTGTAAGTCCTATTTTTAGACTCCAAATGGAATTATAATTTTAGATTTTTTGAGAAATCTTACTCAAAGTTAATAGTTCATTTAGGAAATACTTGGTTTTAGGTAGGAAAAACAATATATTATGTCTATAGTATTAAAACAAAATTAATTTCTTTTTTTCTTAAAGAATTTATTTATTTATTTATTTGAGGGAGAGTGAGAATGAGGGAATGGCAGAGGGAGAGGGAGAAGCAGGTTCCTCACTGAGCAGAGAGCCTGATGCAAGTTTTGATCCCAGGACCTTGGGATCATGACCTGAGCTGAAGGCAGATGCCTAACTGACTGAGCCACTCAGGTACACCAAAAACAAAATTAATTTCAGTGCAGAACGACAAGATGCACAGGATACCAGGGCAGGGGGTACATAGAAACTGTAGAGTTCAAGCACCCATTTGACATGTGAGGAAAATTAGACCCAGCAAGGTGAGTAGCTGAACTCTAGTCAGCCTCTGGCTTCGGTCACCTTCTCAGCAGTCACTTCAGAGTGACTTCAGGCTGGCACCTTCCCCATTTGTGCAAGCTTCCCTCCAAAACCCCAGTTATAAAAAAAACCATGACCCATGATATGGAAAGTTAATGCCAACAGTTTGCCAGACCATGGAGGAGTGTCCGCTCATCTTAAGGAACTTGGCATTTTACTTCAGGAACAACTTAGGGCATTTCGTCATCGAGCCTCATAAAGATATGCTATCATGGCCTCTTGAGGGAAGGTGAGAAAATACTCTATCTTGCCCAAACTTTCTGACCCAGACATCCAGATTTTCTATCTACAAGGAAATGGGCAGCCAGTTTTTTATTGAGACAAATGCTTTGAGGGCAAGATCCAGGGATTCTAACCTATTCTGTGGGATCAGAGAAGACTTCGTAGTAGGGAATGATCTTCATATTTCTTAGTAATTAGAACAGAATTTGGCAGAAACTTCTCTGCCAAAGGGATAAGCTAGTTATTTGTTTTGTTTTTTTGTTTTGTTTTGTTTTGTTTTGTGTGTTTTGTTTAGCCATGGAGAGCCATTTCTTTGTGAGTTGTGTGAGTGCTAACTTAGATCTGAAACACAAGCTCAGCAGTCTATGTGTCCCTGAGAGGGAACTACTTAGATTTCAAGGTCTGGTTTGGGCAAGAACTGCCTTCTTTTGTGGCATTGTCCTGCTCTTACTCTGCACCAGTAAGCTTCCTGTGTCTGCATGGGTGTATGTTCACCCCACCCCATTCCTTTGAGCACCAGTGAGGTTTCTTCTGGAGCAGTCAACACCTTCCAAAGGTCAATGTCCTCTAATCTCATGTAAGCCTCCCACAGCATTTTCGCTATACCAGAAAATGAAACTGGGCTAGATATTGCAAAAACAGGAGCACTGCAAGAGGACATACCTGTAACCATCTGTAGATGTAACTTGTCACTTGGCCTACTCACTCTCTTTCTTTTTCTTCCTGACACAAATGGCTAGATGTGACAGTGAAATTTGGGCCATAAGGACAGAATCGTTTGGGGGTGGGGTGGGGTGGGGGGGTATAGGAGGGTTGAGCAAAATCTAAAAATGAAGCCACAAAAATGTCTTTGTTTCTACTGCAATATGACAATCTTTTTTCACCTTTAAGCTTGTAGGATATTTTATAATTTTCCAAGTGTTATACATATTTCTGTCCAAGGTTTATAGACAAATCAGTGGAAAGTCAGAAAATCTGAGTGGACAAATTGGGAATTAGAGTTCTAAAACCAGTGTTCTTTTCAATAATCATGCTACAGGGCTAGGTGTTTATAAGGAAGTGAAGAGAACATATCCATGGCCCATTGTGAAAAATACTGCCAAATTTGGAAGCATGCTTCTTATTTGATTTAACTACCTGCTTATTCAGTATGAAATAGAATCATGAATTTGTAGAGAGAAAAAATCATTATCAAACATCAATTATTAATTTTTGCCCACACTTACACTTCTGTTCTCACCTAATATTTCATTTTATGTCACTATTTCCTTTTGGGAAACAGCCATTTCTCCTACCAAGGTCAAGCTCTGGATAATAATAAAATGTTCATTTTTTCTTTGTTGTTGGAAAGGACAATGTATCATGAACAGTTCTTTGAAGTATGAGAAGCATATAGTCAAGATGGCTAGGTTTAATTCTATTAAGGAATTAGAGGGAGATTTGAATAAAAATGGTACACTCAGTGCTTGTAAGTATTCTACTACTCGTCTAAAAGTCCTCTGAAGTGACAAAAGGTATTTAAGAAACAAGATAAATTTATAAATGCCTAGAAAGACAATCAAGAGTATCATTACTGAATTGGAAATATTGAAGCATCACAAAATAAGGAACACATGTAAAATCTGACCAATGGAGAAGTAAAACCATAGGAAACTATAGTTCTTTTTTTTTTAATATTTTATTTATTTATTTGACAGAGATCACAAGTAGGCAGAGAGGCAGGCAGAGAGAGAAGGGGGGGGACGTAGGCTCCCCGCTGAGCAGAGAGCCTGATGCAGGGCTCCATCCCAGGATTCTGGGACTGTGACCTGAGCTGAAGACAGAGGCTTTACCCACTGAGCCACCCAGGTGCCCCAGGAAACCATAGTTCTAAAACATATGCTGAAAAGATTGGTTTGGACATAAGCTAACTGTAGGGGAGTTTAAAGTTAGAAGTAAATAACCATAAGAAATGGATAGTCAGGGCACCAGAGCCTGGGGATCGAGTCCCGCATTGGGCTCCCAGCTCCATGGGAAGTCTGCTTCTCCCTCTGATCTTCTCCCCTCTCATGGCCTCTCTCACTGTCTTCCTCTCAAATAAATAAATAAAATCTTTTTTTTTTTAAAGAAATTGATAGGGTGATTAAGTAGGAAATTAGATCTCTTTGTCTTCTTTTTATGGGTTAATAAGTAAGAAGCAGTTGTGATGTCCACAGAACAAATCTCCTTGCTAGGTACCAGGAACGGAATGGAAGAGCAATGCCCCAATGTAGAGAGACTGGGAGTCCACACTGCAAGAACAGAAGCTATTGGTCCTGGCAACTCC